CCCCCTTTTACAGATAACCATTATACTGCATTATTCAGGCCAGTCCAGTGACGTCCCAGGCCCATCATCATCATCATCATCATCATCATCATCATCTCCTCTAGCAGAAGCAAGGTCCAGGAGCACTGAGCCCAGGCCAACGTGATGACGTGTCTATGATGGTCTGGGCGCACAGGAAGTGAGTTGAAGGATGATGGCTGTCATTCAATAAAGAAAAGCGGAGCAGAGAGTCTGTGGGGGTTGGGCTTGAAAGCTTTAATTGTTTTTGCAAAGAGCCCCAAAAAGATCTGAGCTCTTCCCGATACCTTTCAACCCAGCGTATTGCATAAAGCTGCAGGCAATCTATTACAGACAACACCCCCGATTCATCAAGCGGCAATCACTTAAAGGGGTCCATTTATAAACTATCCACAGAACCCTTCATCCTGCAAATAGCATTTGCTCTTTGCTAATATATACTAAAACGAATGTTCAGTTATTTTCTTTACAAGGCATAATATTTGCAATTTGTTTTCCTGCAATATCATATTATGGCCAATATAGGGCGCTGAGAGGCATAGAAAATTCTTATTTCCTCTGGGTGCCATCTAGTGGCCATAAAGGAATATTACATGAAAACATTTGAAAATTCATTGCACTGAAAATTAAGTAAAGAACGTTCAAATTTGGCACTTATTCCCACAGAGAAAACGCTCAGATATCCGCAGGGCTGTTTATAAAAGAGACTATAGTGTTAAATAGCACCTAGGGCACTAAAATGCCACGTGATAATGACTCGGAATAAGGCCGAACTCCTTTTATTTCCTCTTTCAATTCACGTTATGCCAAATTGGAGTTCTTATCAAACAATTGTTGCCGCATCTCCCACCTTCACAAACTCAAAATACTCCATGTTGGTCCTCTCTCCGCCCAGTCTCACGGGAACCAGGATCAGAACAGATTTTTCACAGTCCAAGGTATTTTGTTGGTTGTACACATCTCCGCTGTAAACTGTTCAGATTAAAACAGGCACATATAGCATTACATAACGCATGGCACTGAAGGCATCGCACAAACACTCTGTAATCTCTCGCCTGGAACTAAAAACATCAAAAAAGGACCAAGTACGAGTTTTACAAAAAAAGTCTGCCAATGAGACGTCTAAAAACTGGGAGGAAATGGCAAGTGACATTATCTACCCCAATCGTATGACTATTGTAAACGGAACCCAACAGGGTAGGAACGCGATGTGCGTTTTAAGATACAAGCTTCATGCCAAACTTCCATCAATACATTTTCATTTCATATCCAGAAAAATAAAAAAGGAAAAAGCAGGTTGAAAATCTTTTCTGAATATACTGTATGTTCCAGGTCAAGCAAGGATTAGGACAGCACTGGAAAATACGAGTGAGCAAGTGCAGCATCCATATTGCCAAGCAATCCCCACTATGCACAGGAAGGTGTGGGTTCTCATACACACACACACACACACACACGAGATTGATGACAAAGCTTGGTGCACTGTGGTGCCATTACTACTTGATACCCCAGCGCGCGGAGCCGTCGCACCGTAACACATGGTAACGTCATTACTAGGGATGCACCAGTACTAGTATCGGTGCAGATACCGACTATTTTTTTTTTTATTTTTTTTTAACAGGTAAAACTTTTATTGAATTTTTTCATACAAAAAAGACAATCACAAAAAGACAATGACAATTACAGATCGACCTTCTGAACACAGCATTTCCAGCAGTAATACAAGACAATACAATAATGGTAACTCAAAAAATAAAGATACAAATACATCCAAATAAATCGATTTGTGGATCAGTACACTCAGCGCCCGGGATAGTACCGAATTGAACCCCAGGGTCAGCCCAGCCTCCATAGGGTAGAGAGAGGAGTGATAGGAGGAGGGGGCATGGGAGCAGGGGGGAGAAGCAGTCCAGCAGAGAAGGGGAGAGAAAAAGGGAAAAAGAGAGAAGAGGGGAATGGAAGACCAGGTCAGCCTCAGAAGGGCGGAGTTGGCTAAGGAGAGAAGGGAAGGGTACCACTGAGTCCCAGTAAGACCGGAGCCCTGCACACGTCCACACCATATGTAGGAAGGTGCCCTCCTCTCCTCCACACCTAGTGCACTTTGCGTCAGCATTGGGGTATATTTTTGCCAGCCTAGATGGGGTGTAGTAGGCCCTATGTAGAAATTTAAGCTGGAAAACCACTAAATGGGGGAGATCACAGTGGAGATGCAAGTCTGGACACAGTCCTCCCAAAGTTCCTCTGTCAGGTCGGGTATGTCTGCCTTCCATTTCACATAGAGTGATGTCAGCTGGGGACCCCCTGCAAATGTCAGTCGGAGGTACAAGGAGGACAGAGGTTTTTGTATCCCTTTTGACCTGAGGAATCGCTCAATCCATGGGACAGGCGCCACAATCTATCAGAGGGAACCGAGGAGACAGCCACAGACAGCCGCAGGGGAGCATGATCCGATATTCCCCTGGGTAGGATGGAGACATCTCGGAGCCTCGGGAGCACGGAGGGTGTAACATAGCATAGGTCGATTCGCGAGAATGACCTATGGGATGCCGAATGGCAGGTGTAGTCCCGAGTCTCCGGATGCCACCAACGCCAGGCATCTACCAGTGAGCCCGCCTCCGCCCATCTAGAGAGTTCAGAAGTAACCGCCGTCCCGCCTCCCATCCGGTCCACCGCGGGAGAGGGCACCATATTGAAATCCCCCAGTATAAGAACGTCCTCGGTGGCAAAACTAGCAATAATGGGCAGCAGTTTTGTTCAGAAGCTGTACCGAGGCCGGTATATAGAGACCCACCACCACCATTTCCCTATGTAATATTTTGGCATACATCACCACATAGCGGCCCTCTGGGTCCAGCTTGAGATCTAAGAGGTCAAACGCCACTGTCTTGTGCACCAGTATACTGACTCCTCTGGCATAGGTTAAATATGTAGAGTGATAATAATGACCCACCCAAGCCCTCTTCAGGCTAAGCACCCTGCCACCAGTCAGGTGAGTCTCCTGAAGAATACAAACATGAGGTTGATAGGAGTTCAGATACTGGAAAACCAGTGAGCGCTTGATTGTCGATGACATCCTCCACCTCACCCACTCTACCTTCCACCGCCGCCATCCGGTCCCGGAAGCCATCCAATTCTCTCTCGAGCAGCCCGACATCAGACTGCAGATGGTCAATCTTGGCCATCAGCGCGCTCTGACACCCCGAGATCGCCGCCATCACCGCCGTGAACTGGGCAGGCCCCGACAAGGCCTCCTCTGGAGCTTCCGGCTGGGCCGCCATTCTGGCGCATGACAGTTTCAGTCCGCGGGGTCTTAGGAGTAGCGGGGCGGCTCGTAGATGACCTCCGGCGCCCCCGAGACATACCCCCGGGATCAGGGCTTGGTCTGGGCTCAGTCCCCCGTCCACTCGAGCGCTCCACGGGGCAGAAAATAATCAGGATAGTAGGATAGGTGGCGGAGCACAGTTACTACACGTGTGCTCCGGTCGCCATCTTGGACACGCCCCTCTGATACCGAGTATTTGAGCAAGTACTCTTGCTCGCCCAAATGGTCCGATACCGGAACTTCCGAGATCTCCCTCTGACCAGCAGTGCCGAGGGAGCATTGAGCCGGCTTCCTAGCCAATCAGGATGCCGGGAGGCAGGTCATGACGTGCCACCCAGCTTCCCGATTGGCTAGGAAGCCAGTCGTTAGGAAGCCGGGTGTTATGCTGGGCACACACCTTACAACCATCGCAAGACTTTTTTCTTGTGATGGTTGTAAGTACGTTAAGAAAACGTACGATCTGCCCATCTTGGACAGGCAGATCGCACTTGCGATAATCGCAATGCCGAACAGGCAGTGTGCGCTTGCGCACACCGGCCGGTCCGGCTTTTATCGTACGAACATGCTACACACCCGCCGAACATCGTACGATGCTCGGCGGGTTTTCCAACATGTTCGTAAGTTTAAAGTCGTGCGACCTCTACTACTGTAAGGCTTCCACACACACCTTACGATAATCGTACAATGGCTGGATATCCCGCGATTATCGTAAGGTGTGTGGGCACCCTTACTTGTTGCCAAGCAGCCTGACTTCCTGATTGGTCAGAAGCCACGCCGCCTAGAAACAAGTGAAGCCGGCTTCCTAACCAAGCAGGAAGCCGGGTCATGATGTGCTGCCCGGCTTCCTGATTACCTAGGCAGCCTTGGCAACTGAAGCCAGCGTTCTTTCGCTAGGACACTGGCTTTACAGGCAATCAGGAAGCCGGGTGACAGGGGCATGATCCGCCGCACGACTTTGTGATAATCAGGGCACGAGGTGCAGGATAATCAGCGAGTGCAGGAAAAAAAATAATAATTCAGATTTAGTACTCGAACTGAAAAAACAGTATTGGTGGATCCCTACTTATTACCATGCACAAGTGAAGCAGGCAGGGCTGACACCATGTGCTTAGGAATTTAGAGCCGAGTTGTTATGTTAAAAGGGAAGGTAGGTGCACAATATTTCTCTGTTACCCTGTTTCCCCGAAAATAAGACCTAGTACTATTTTTGGGAATTGCTAAAATATAAGAACTACCCCGAAAGACCTAGTTGTGACCATTCCCAGGGCCGGTGGTGGCTTAAGGGGGAACTTGAAGAGCCGCGGCAGAGGCAGGAGAGTCAGCGGTGACAACGAAGCCAGCACTAGAGGAAGCGAGGCGGCAGCAGAGGGAGCAGAGCCGCATAAGCCGATGCCTCCTCTATAGCGCCGTCTCTCGTCGCAGGCGGAGTGATACCAAATGCTCTCCACCTGTGAGGAATCCATAGTGAAGCGCGCTTCGCTCATTCTGGTTACCAAATTGCTCTTAGAAAGGTACGGCACCCCTGATTACCATATTTGTGTACATGAATACATGTAGACTGTTGTACATGAATAAGTGTGGATTGAAGATGTGCAATGTATTGCATAGATGCACAAAATATATATTTTGTTGCCCTGGCATACGGTTTAAACGGAATGTCTGGTTTGGCTTTAACTGGAAAAAATACACTACAGTTTCCATTCAAAACAAGTTTTTTTTGTTCATATAAATGTATTTTATTTACACAAGGAGTAACTTACTTGTACAGTCCTGAGCAACATAAATGGTGATCCCTTGTAGTTCTGGTAAAAAAAAAAAAAAAAAAAAAAAAAAAAAAGGGAACTTTTAACTTGTAACTTTGTACAGCCGACCTTACTATTAACACACCCCTGCTGCACAGCACAGCCACGTCCTACAGCCAGACAACATTGCAGTTAAGCAATTAACACTGCCTGCACAATGAAGGAGCAGTGCCATACATGTGACCAGGGCAGCCATCAGGGGGTTACGGCCAGTGGCGTAACAACCGGGGGGGGCGTCAGCAGGGGCGCGGGCCCCGGGCGAAAAGTGAAGGGGGGGCGCCAGCCGAAAATGTAAGTCCAACCTATTTCGTGTGTGCATTTATGTTTGAGCAGGTGTGTGCGTGTGTACTCAGTTGCAGAAATGTCACCAATACCGAGGGGATACAAGAACTGGGTGACAATCACTTCATATCTCCAGATATCATTAGCACGGTCACATTCAAGCAGAGACTCAAAAACTTACCTCAGGAGGTGAGACACAATAGCTGGGCCATACCAGTCACCGGCAACTTTGCCAGAGCTCTTGCCGAGTTTGATCAGCTGGTGTATACCAAAATCAGCAGAGGGCTGGTCCGCAAACCAGGAAATGATCTTCCTATGGTAAACCTCCGTCTGGTTTTTCTCATCATAGTCTTTGATGTGCAACGGTTTACTAGAGGTGGTCCCATAGTTCTTATGGTCAACGTATGAAGCCTCGAATGGAGCAAGCTTTCTTGTGCTGTTACCGGACCAGAAGTCCGCCTCCGAGCTGTAAATGTCCAGGGCATTGGGCCACAACCAATCTATAGGAAAATACAAAAAAAAAAAAAAAAAAGTATAAAATTGATAATATTTTTTTTTTTTTTTTAAAACACAACCAAATCGGCATGGTTGACTTAGATGGTACAAAGTGCCCAGACTTGGCACCATAAAACCTCTGTTCTCCAGACAGAGCATGATGCAGACCTAGACATAACTTCCAGCTGACATCCAACAACAGTGCACCCAAGTCAACACAAGGTGCCTCCTGCAATCCAGCTGTGCTTCAATCACAAATCCCCCAATATGCCTCTGGGAGTCATGCCTGTAACTGTCAGTCTTGCAAAGCCTCATGGGACTTTTAGTTCCACAACAGCTGGAGGGCCGGAGTTACCCACCCCTGACAGAACAACACAGTTCTATGAACTTTATAGAACACGACTGATAGAACCAAGCCTACAAAACAGAAGAGATCCCAAGATGCCTTACCTCGCCCAATTAAATGAACCAATAGTCCCTGAGCCAGAAGCATTTGTCCAGTCCGCAGAGTGCAGCCCCAACCACAGTCGGTCGTCCATGCTGACCCTTCTAATTGGGAGAACTCCTCTCTGTAGGTCAGCCATATCCTGGAGATAAAGTCCTTTCGGAAATCCTCCACTGTGCCAAATGCTTCACCATTAGTCACAGTCTTGGTCTCGGAGTCATCAGGAAAGGCCTCGCTAGAATCTGTAAACACAGAGCGTCAAGGGTAATGCAACTTGAGGTTAAAGTCATCTCACAGCAAATAGAAGACCCCTCAGACAACTGCAAAGAATCCTCCAACCAGATTACGATTAAACACAGATAGACGGTGCACACAGGTTTGAGAGCAGCCAGTCTTTGGTACTGCCGTGGAGTCTTCAGACTGAACACTATGCAGACCTAGACAAACTTCAAGGGGACATGCAACAACAGCGTTCCCAAGACACACCAAAAGCAACTCTCTCAACACACGGTACCGTACCTGGTATTGATTGGGTTAGTATGTGCGGTGACCAGCCCTCCCAATTCTCACTGTTGTCCCATAACTGCAATGGGTGGTCTAGTAACCAATTGTGAAGCACAGGGAGACCAGACCTGAGATAGAGTTTGGAAGCCAATGTCCATATTTGCATAACATGGGACATCAGGATCAAAGCTCCATGTCATCACTCGATGTGCTTGCATTTCATATAGATCTCAAAGATTAGGTCGTTTTACCTACCAGCTGGTTTATGTTAAAGCTGAACTCCAATCAACCACCATATAATCCAGTAAAGACCTGGACCAGCCTGTCTTACCCAACAGCAGTGTAGGCTTCAAAGAGGTCCAGGACCTGGCTACGCTGTCACAAAACTGGTTAAAAAGATATGGTGTCAGGTAAACAATTGACATGTGTTTCAAATGGTGCATTTAGCCGTTTGCTAGGCGTTCAGAGTTAAAGTGCACCCACCTATACTAAACGGACCTTTACAAGGCTTTCATTTTGCAAATATTGACACTTCATGATAGAGTCAATAGTTGATCTGCAGCTTTCTGCAACTTCCTTTTGGTTTATTATAACAGGTGGCCTTACCAGCCAACAGGGAAATGTGGGAGGTAAGATGGCAGGTCTAACATATTCAACTGGCACAACCTGTAGAGCCAACTGGCACAACCTGTAGAGCCAGTTTAAGTCCCGGTATAACCTGTAGAGCCAGTGTAAGTCCCGGTATTCTACAAGTTCATGATTCCATTGCCCTGCACATACCTAACATGTCAAGTGCATCTAAGGCCAAATGTATATTTGGACAGAGTGGTAAGGGGGGTCTGAACTTATCTTGGGTGTTTTTGTTTTTTAATTGTTATCTGTGTCCCTCTTGGAGAGATTCATCCTCTACTTCTCCCGGTGTCTATTATCACCCTAAATAAAAGCAGTTTTTGAGTGGTCAGACTGAGGGAAAAGCTTCCAATGGAGACACCGGTTTGGTGACAAGGATCCAAGAGCAGATTTCCCTTACTTGCTTCCTGTGTGCCCCCAGAACAGGCATTGAGGGGAAGTCTTCCCCAATGGGTTTTAATTTGTCATTGATGTATCCAAAATAAAAAAAACAACTCTTGACTTTAGATATACATTGCCTGTCAATAAAATATTAGTTGGACCACGGCACACATTCACCCTGGCATCGTTTGGATAAGCTTATGCAATGTCACAGCATTTATTTCCATCCAGAGTTGTATTCATTTTCCAATTAGGATCTTGTAGTGATGATGGGAGAGTCGGAGCACTGTGTAAAGTCTTCTCCCGCAGATTCCAAAGATTCTCAATGGGGTTAAGATCTGCACTTTGTGGTGGCCAATACATGTATGACAATGATGTCTCATGCTCCCTGAGCCACTCTTTCACAATCTGAGCCCGATGAATCCTGGCATTGTCATCTTGGAATATGTCTGTGCCATCAGGGAAGAAAAAAAAAAATCCATCGATGGACGAACCTGGTCATTCAGTATATTCAGATAGGCAGCTGACCTCATTTTTTGGGTACGTAATGTTCATGAATCTAGACCCATTATCCAATGGAAGGTGCTTACCTATTTGCTTAGCTAGGTGGAGACTTTTTGGACAGGCAGTGTACTTTTATTGGGGATATCTAGAAATCACAGCACTTTCAGGACTTGTCAATGCATTTACTTCCAAAAGAAATAATGGTCGACAGTCTTGCGACGTTGGAAAATACTCCGTTGGAAGGCACCCGCAAAATAAAAAGTGGTAAATCACATGTATTTCAGGAACATTTCCTACTTCCTGATTAACAAAGCTCGGGGCCTTCCCAGCATCTGCCCGCGACTCACCTTCAAGCTTGAAGTGGTAACATTTTCCAAGCAAAAACACAGGTGAATTCCGCTTAAAATATGTTCTTGTCTTGAGGACCCAGCCTTAAAAAAAAAGAGCAAAAAGACAAATATATTAAATTGTTAAAAATATACATTTTCTTCTCTGGGTCCAAGGTGTAAATCTTAGTCAAAACATAAAGGAATCCCATCGCACTCCTGACAGAAGATTACCCATATTCTGTGAATGGGAGGGTGCTACAGTGACCACGGATGGCACTCCCCAATCAAACCATAATGTACGAAGTAGTCACCGGAACTCCAATATTCATCGTCTATTCTAGCTTATGGACATAAATAATAGGTCAGATCACAATAGTGATACATAGCTATTGAAATACATTGTGGCATGACCTATTTATGTCAATAAAGAATGAATATTGTAGTGCCGGTGACTACTTCATCCATCAAGGTGTGAGTCTGCTGGCCAGGAAACAAAAATGGGACCCCCCTTTCTCCCCCCCAAAAAGTTTCTGAATTCCCAAGATTGCTAGAAATGGCACTATAATAGGCATGTGGTGAAATCCATTGCTCGAGCCCTGTGAACTTAAAGCAAACTCAAATCTGGGTTCCAGGAGTCAGTAGGATATAGATTATAGGAGATATATATTTTAGGGATGCACAGATACTTTTCGAGTACCAGTGACCAGTGCAGATACTTGGGCATTTTCATGAGAACTACCAGAGTTGCAGCGGTTGCAGCTGGGACCGGGCTCTGGCGCTCCTCCACTGTCCTGAAATCATTAGTCTGTATTGTTTTAGAAAAACTGTCACATGACAATAAACAAAAATGTATCAGTACTTGTAAGTACTCGCAAAACTGGTATCTGTGCATGCCTTTTATTTATAAAAACAAAATCGTACATTAAAACAGAGATGTACAAATCCCGGGAGCTCCGTGTGCTCCTTACATATTACAGCTGCCTCCTAATTTTTGAATTTCTCTAGTGTAGTCTAGGAGCTCAAAAGTATCGGTACTTGTACTGAGTACTGTACTTGGTATCTGTGCAACTAATATATATATATATATATATATATATATATATATCATTCTCAGACCCATTCATCCTGCATGTACATTTGTTAAGTAAATGAAGGCAAAAATGAATGTTATTAGTATATTTTCTAAACCGTATGTAATCTCAGTAAAATAAAACATTATGGCCACTAGATGAATACATGTTTTTCCTATGCTTCCCAACTCCATCTAAGGGGCCATGAAGTGGCATTTTCCTGGTATTACATTCAACCCTGAAAGAAAATATACCAAGAACATTGGTGTTTGCCTTTATTCTAACAGAACAAATGTATGTGCAGTTTCGCAGGAAGAATGGGGCTGCAAATTTTTTTATTTTTTTTTTTAGATATACACCCCTACAGGCCTGACATAAAAGGTTGTGAACCTCCATTTTAGGCAAGACCTTATGGGGTTAAAGATGGCAGACCGGGCCAGGAATAAAAAAGGTTTAAGTGGAACTCTAAAAGGAGAATTAAAATTGGGCCTCCTACATTGATGAATGCACACTTTGTGTAATACAGAGTTACTTCCCACAGCAGCTGCCAGTCCGTTTCTCCACGTTCCAGCACTAGGATGTGTGCGGGCACTACTACATTATCAAGTGCAATGCACGACCAGCCGTAGCCACTAGTCCTGCATTGTATGTGACGATGCCAGCATCACAGGTGGCGACAAGACGGGTCAGAGTCCTTGTTGACCAGCCTCGGGATGATACAGGAGATTATGTCTCACTTCCCGTTTGGTCAAACAGACCGGCAGCAAGTCCCCATTAGGCAGATTTATCCTCACTTCCTTCCCAGGTGACAGGAACAGAAGCTTCTAATTCCTCCCCTTTTATGGGAAAACAAAATTGGATTTGATAAAAATGGATCGTGTACAGGATTTAGAAACAGACTCACTATATTTCACATTATGCCAAGCAGATAAAAACCTAGACTTCAGTTTATCCACATCATCCGAGGCGCTGGCTTCCATAGTCGCCACTTGAAAATAAACCCATGCTCTGCCGAGTTTGGAGAGGCACGTACCTAAAAGGAGAAAAATAAAAATTCAGAATTTCAGCCGTAATTTGGGCACAATATACAGCAAGATATTTGTTGGCGATGAAGCAGTTATTTCATAATAATAAAACCCAATCAGTAAAATCTCAAACGAATGAAACGTGTATTCCATTTCACCAGTTTTAATATTTTTTCATTCAAAAATGATCCTGCCATGGAGGTCCTGGTTCAGGCACATCCTGTTAATGCGGGACAACTGTCTGTAGAATTTTGCTTCTCTGTGGTCACCCTGACAAGGTGACCAATGAGTGGTCGCCATTTTCAGCGGAAGTTAAAAATACTAAGTACAGGGCTGAGCTGCTGTGTACAGAGTACAGATAGGACGCTGGCTGCCGCGGAGGGGGAGGAACATTCAGAGCAGAGGTAGGGGTTTGCGGCAGGGGGGGCTTGTAGACTGGTGGAGGTAATTCCATTTTCCCAAATTCACCTGGGAACGTGGAATTGCCTTTTAAGTGCACTTGGAAGTTTTCTATACAAAAAAAAATAATTAAGGATAAAAAGGGGAAAGGAAGAACCAGGGGAGGCAAGTAGTTTACTTTTGTAACCATGTTTCATGTTGCACCAATATTTGGGGTATACCATGAAAGATAGTTACATCTCCAACCCCGCACTTAGCTGAATTGTGGGGTACTTCACCCGGCAAACTGCTGTCCCAACGGAGTACAAGTGCAGAGATGTCGCCGCACTTGTACTCCATCCATACTTCCTCCCATTCCTTAGATGAAAGTCTGTACCTTGGCATGGGCTGAGGGGAGCGGGGAGGAATAATCTGCAGAAGCCAGAGCAAAGAAACCACAATCCACTGAACGCAGCTGCAATGCTTTGAAGGCTCAAATGCAAAAATTATTTTTTTTTAAAATGCACATTTTTCCTTTTATTAATGTGTGAGCATTTATTATTTTTTCGCAAAAGCTGGACTATGCCTTTAAAAAAAAATTGATGTCTGTAGAACTTGGGGGACAGATCCAGGAATTTCAGACTGTAAGCCCTCACGGGCAGGGCCCTCCTTACCATCTTGTTTTGAATTATTGCGATTGTAATGTCTGCCTTATATTGTAAAGCGCTTCGCAAACTGTTGGCGCTATATGAATACTCTATAATAATAATAAATAATCTTCAGCAGGCCCTCATTCCCACAATCATTTGTGAAAGATGGCAGTTTGGGTTTTCCAGCTTGGAGGGTCTAATTAGCTTACAGAGGCTGCATATTCCACAAACACAAGATAGAATGTCCCTTCCTCCTTCTCCGTTATGCCAGAAAACATCTTGATGATCCCCAAGACTTTTGTGAAAATACTCTGTGGACTGACGAGACAAAAGTTGAACTTTTTGGAAGGTGTGTGTCCCATTACATCTGGCGTAAGAGTAACACCGCATTTCAGAGATTTCTGCACCTTTCACTTCTACCACTGAAAAGGTCTGGTGTAGCAGCAAGCAACATTAGAATGGCTTCTGATTAGTTAATTTGCCGCCCCCCCCAAAAAAAAGCCATAAAAAAATAAATACAGGAAAAAGGAAAGTTCAAAATGTTTATAAGTGAATGAGAAGTTCTTTTCCCTCCTGCAGCAGAATCAGAGTTCAATGAGCAAGGAACATGCACCCGGGTCACACTCACAATTACGTAGACAGTCAGCACAATCTAATAGAGAAGTCTCAGGAGATTATCGCTGCCACAGTGTCACGTCATCAATAAGGAAATGAAAAAGTATCATCTGACACCATCCGAGGAACATGATCATCCGCTGTGAACACAATAGTGCTGAACATCATGACCTACAAAATACAATGTGACCAAATAAAAGAAAATAGGTCCAAACAGAACATGAAATATCCAGAATCCTCAGCAGATTCCCAAACCTAGACGACGGGAAGGACACATGTTCTCTGAGATGTATTTTGGAAGTCCTTCTCCAAGAACACCGGAATACGGACGCTCTTTAGTACAAACGTGTGAATTCCAGCATGGACTGGTGACCTTAGGTCTGAGGGATGGTGTTGGTGGCCAACTTGGGACACCAAAGAGCATTTGGTGGGTGCTGCCAGCTTGAGGCTGGGGGAAGGGTGTGGGTTAATTTGGGTGTGAAGAGGACTATTTGCTTATCAGGGGAAAAAATGGTCTGGAGAGGCAGGGAAGCACACACCCCCTACAATAAATTGGGGTGGCCATACACTAAAGGGGGGGGGCATTCATCAAGAAAGTTAGCAAAACAGATCCATATCCTGCTGCCCATCACTTAGCAAAGTCTCTGCGACGTGTTTACAATGCATTTGCGACCCGACCTTGCGACTGAATTCGTGGGCAGCCAACTGCGACAGATTTCCACTTTAACCAGACGCATATTGAACAAGTGGTCAGGGTCGGGTTATATTCCATCACAGTGATACTTTAGCTCAGTTCAGGGAGGAATTTAGGACTCGGGCTGTAATCTTGTAATAATTCTGTCACACAATCTATCTTACTTCGGTTTATCATTGCTTTGGACAGATTTTAGAAATGCCTCCCTAGGAGTTTTGTTTTAACTTGATCCAATGAAAAAAGAAAAAAAAACACTGTCTGGCCAGCTTAAAGGCTAATTCCACTTCCCCAGGCAAATTTGTTCCACCAATCTTCCACGACTCACACCTTGCCGGGGCAGAAAGATGCCAACAGCGGCACCAGTGAATTTTGGGGCGGTTCATCAAGAATAGGTCAAAATTAAAACACATTGGGTGGTAACTTTATTCAGCTAAAGCAAGAAAGACAAATCTAAAACAAAAACAAAAATCCAATGCATGTAATAATCAGATCAGTAGGTTAGCCGGGGGTCAGGTACCTAGTAAAACGTGGAATGCAGTTTGTGTTCATTCAACATAGAGATCTTTGAGGAAAAAGAAAAATCTCATATTTCTCCCAATTCATCTGAATATTGTCTGATAGTATAATAAAAAAAACAAAAAAAAAACAAAACGTAACAGTAAGGACCAATACACAACAGCCGCTGCACAAAACACACAACAGTTGGTGTGTGTGTTTGCCAACAGTGTCGATGCCGCAATCCCAACTTTGTTGAAATGTCACAAGTGTCATCAAGTTCAACAGCCAGAGCAGGGTGCGAGGTGGTTGTACTGCATCCCAGCCCGCTGCATTGGGAATTTTGTTTTGTTTTTTTTTTTTAAATACAATACGTCGTACCTTTTTCAGTGCCTGTGCGGTGGTGTAAAGCAAGACCATCCATGACAAGGCAAATTGTCCTAAATTGGGGTTGCGCTGGAAACAACGGCCAGCACAGCCCCAACCCATATGGTGTGAATGGGCTGAACTCTGGGACATACACACACACACACCCATGCAGTGCTCTCCCCTACCCCACACTGCAAGGTTTAAATGCTCACTAAGGAATAAACTGTTTTTACTTTAACCTTTGCTTCAGCAGGCTGTGACCTCTCACCTCTTCTCTCTGACACCCCCCCTCACATACAATACAAGGCTATTGGTCACATAGTCAGGTTGAAAGAAAAAAAAAAAAAAAAAAGGACACATGTCCATCGAGTTCAACCTATAGAGATAAAGTTCAACCATTGGTCCTGCATCGCATTTATTTATTACAGGTATTTCTATAATGCCAACAGTGTACACAATGCTTATGTGAATGCATGTAGGTGGACGCATTGTATGCATGTGGGATAGGGACCTTAGACTGTTAGCTCCTTGAGGGCAGGGTCTGATGCGTATTCAAATACCAGTCACATCAGTCCCTGCCTTCGAGGAGCCAACAACCTAAGGTCCCTAGCTCACATGCCTACATACACATCCATATACTGGGGGTCAGTTAAGACAGGAGCCAATTAACCTAACTTCATAACAGCATGCACAGTCCATGCATATAGTATTCTGCCCTGTGATTCAGACTGGTTCAGACTAAGGTCCATTCAGTCCAACCGATGTATGAGAGTGTGTGCGTGTGTATTATTCATGTACCCCAAAACTTAACAAGCAAGTAACCCTTGCAGACTGGGGGTGGGGGGCGCATTATAAGGGTATATTTTTGTGCATCTGGAGTTCTGTTTCTGTCCTTAGACTTAACAAGCATTTAACCCTTGCAATTTGTTTTAGGCAGGGGGCACACACACATTACAAGGGTATTTTTGGTGCATCCCAGAGCTCAGCTTTAAGTATTCAGGATAAACTTCTTCTCAGCCCAAGCAGTTCTGATACAAAGATTTAGCAAAATGTTACACAAACAATATTAAACAATAAATACATCAACCACAGACAGTATTCAATCATATTTTTGCCCTGGCCCCAATACAGCCACAATCACTGCTCCCTGAATAATGCTCAACAATAATGCTCTCTGAAACCCAACCGATGAAAGTCACTCCCTAAAGCACTATTTATTTATAAAATGGAAGATCAGTGCTTGTAAGTGCACAGGGAGCAGCTGAACAGACCCTGCACATAAGAAAAAAGGGAAAAGTAACACATGACTCACCGCCTGCAACTTCCCCACTGGGCAGCTGATTTCTTCCCAGCAGAGTGATCACCCCCCTCCCACTACATACTCATCATCCTCCTGGAGGCAGATGGATGCTGGGAAATGGAGTGCAGAGCTGTCAGCCATACACTGTGTATTCCACATGACGGCAGGGGGCGTTTCCAGCTGGCTGTATGGAGTACAAGAGTCAATAGAAATACATTGTAGCTGTAATACCCAGCAGGGCCGGCAGAGGGCGCTGTTCTATAGCCAACAGTACAAAGCGGATAATGAATGTATTCAATGTGATACATTGTATAATTTCTCTAGAATGGAGGCGTTATTTTCTTACAAAGCTCAGTTTAGCTTATAACGACTAGAAATGTATTTTATTTATCAGAGTAAGACCCATGAATCAATCACAGAAAGACACGGGTCAGCCAGTAGGTATTGTAATTTAGTATGGATACCTTGTGTTAGAGTGCCGACAGGGGGCGCTGTCCTCCCCGCATATTACAGCTATATGGAGCTGAAGGATTCAATATTGATACATTGGAACAGTGTGTGTGTGTCCCGCAGAGCAGGCAGGGGGCGCTCTATTCCCCGCAAAGCACGGACCCCCTACGTGTCAATCTCTCCCCCCATTACCATGCAGGGTCCTCGGTGTAAGCCAGCTCCGAGTCCCCCAGCTGTCCCTTAGTACGGCCGGATGTTGTCAGTCTCCGTCACCCAAGGCTTCAGCCTCCGTTCACTTCCTAGAGGAGGAGCTGTGCGCTGCTTTCCCTTTATAGGTCACTAGGGGGCGCCGGGAGCGCTGCTTTTCCTTTATCGGCCACTGGGGGCGTTGCGTGGCTTGTGTGCTGACACTTACAGGTCATGCGAACCGCAAACCTCTTCCTGAGGTTACCCTGACTGAGAGTCATATGTACAGAGATTTCTTTTTTTAGTTCTTTTCCTTTTTGTACCACAAAACAACACTGACAAAGAAAAAAAAAACAAGAAACGGGGTGGCACAATCCAATTTTCATTTTTTGATGATACATTATATAGATATTTAGGTCTAGTTCACCAGTGTGCAACAATGCATGTGTGTTTCATGCACTTGATGGTGTGGCATGTTTGGCCAGCCCATTCATTTCAATGAGCTGCCCAATATTATTATTATTACTATTATTATACAGAATTTATAAAGAGCCAACAGTTTGTACAGCACTGTACAAAATGGAGCGACACAATACAGTTAACAATACAATTTCAATACAGGAGGGCAACAATATGCGACAATCGCACCAAAGAAGTGAGCTCTGCTGTTTTTTCCCAATGCGCATGCGTTGTGCCAGGCGTACTTGGGGTGCCATTAGGGCACCTGTAAAAAAATAAATGCGTTTTGGCACACTTTCTGCAATTTTGCACACATTCCCCCCAAGCGCAGGTCTGAAAGCTGTATCCTTCTTTGCAATGGGCTCCCCATGCACTGCAAGGGTTAAATACTCATTTGTAGGGTATCATGGGGAAAAAAAGTACTTTTACTCACCCGCTCACTCCCCCTGGCAGCCAGCGTCCCAAAGCGTCCCTGTCTTTGAATTCTGCTCCTGTGTTGTCACCCTGTCCCACTGATTTCTGATGGAGACTACAATTCCAGCATACATTAGCTCACATGACACTGGCATGGTCCACTGTTGTCACCATCAGCCAGGGGTGTCCCTAGATGTCTCGCCACCTGGGGGGGGTGTTACTCATGGTGCACGTTCCGTTGGGGGCAAGGGGGGTGGTTAGTTGCTCCTGGTGGACGTCCCGGGTTGGTGGAGATGCTGCACACTGCACAGAAACCCACTGATGTCACTGACTGCCAGGAGCTGGTCGGGACGCCAGCCAGAGCATCCCGCTCAGATCCTGGCAACCAGTAATGTCATTGAGCTGGGCAGGATGCCGGCCAGAGCATCCCGCTCAGATCCTGGCAACCAGTGATGTCAGTGAGCTGGGCAGGATGCCGGTCAGAGTATCCCACTTAGATCCTGGCAACAACCAGTGATGTCAGTGAGCTGGGCAGGATGCCGGTCAGAGCATCCCGCTTAGATCCTGGCAACCAGTAATGTCAGTGAGCTGGGCAGGATGCCGGCCAGAGCATCCCGCTCAGATCCTGGCAACCAGTGATGTCAGTGAGCTGGGCAGGACGCCGGCCAGAGCATCCCCCTCAGATCCTGGCAACCAATGATGTTAGTGAGCTGGGCAGGACGCCGGCCAGAGCATCTCGCTCAGATCCTGGCAGCCAGTTATGTCAGTAGGTTGGGCAGGACGCCGGCCAGAGCATCTCGCTCAGATCCTGGCAACCTGTGATGTCAGTGAGCTGGGCAGGATGCCTGCCAGAGCATCCCAGAGTCTAAGACCTAGCAACCTGGGACGCTCTGGCCTGAAAGGGCAGGCACACCTACCACCCCTCTACACGTCCCAATGAGATGCCATCTGAAGCAACTGCCTCTGGCCTCAGGGACGGTCCTGCATCCAGCCATAGAGACAGGAAGTGTCTGCAAAGAAAAAATAACACAAAGCAGTTGTTTATGATGCACTTTATCCAATGTCATGCAGGGAGGACTTACATCTTTTATAATATGCTTTGTGAGCAATTCTATTATTATTATTATTATTATTAATAACATGAAAATGATTAATAACAAGAGAATTCTTCATTGTCTGACATTACATGCATTAACTTGTCTGATTAGAATTATTTATAACAACAAAAGCAGCAGCAGAATTCAATGGTATTGACAGTAATTATAGATGAAGCCCAGACACGCCGATCTCTTCATGGAATGATTTCATAATGCGCTTTTATTTCCAGTATATTAACCACCTCCCGCCGGTGTTCCGGTAGTTTACTGGACCCGTTAGATTTCTGGACTTCCGTGTGGAGGTGTCCATAAATTTCACAGCCAAATGCGTATGTGCGGGTCCAGAAAATCCACAGGCAAGGTCCTGCAAAGTAACACGCCATTCCAGGACACAGACGATTTACAGGAATAACATTTTAATTATTTTTTCTGGTTTATTTTTCATTCATCTTAGATGTGACTATGTGGCCACGCAGGCTTCTTGCCTGTGAATTCTCTGCACCCACAGCAGCTTCCCGATGCAGGTGCTTTGCCCTGGAAATGATCTGGACCCGCTGGTACACACCCAATACAGGCCAATAGCCTGTAAAATGTATGGACCTAATTTACATTAGAATTCTGAGACTTTGCCCCTGGAACTGACGTGCGTTCCAGAATTCTAACAAAGTCCAGGATTGTGTTAGGCCTCGGAAAAGAGGCTGGCTTTAACACCCGACCGATGCATATATGTGCCCGCTGTTCTGTGCTGGAAGCGTGCTCCTGGTACAGTGATCAAGCTGGGGGTGGGCTTTTAAAGGGTGGGTGGCAAGGGGTTATTATTGTTCATAACAATAGCGATGTGACTGATCTTTTCCTTTAATTGTAACTAAGGCTACTATTTTAGCTTTGATTGGAGTGCAGAAAGGTTAGAACCCCCATCAGGTTTTAATTGCCCTCTTGCCCCCTTTATTTGTCCCAGTCAGTGACCATTGTCACAGCAACTGAGAGCCCATCTATGAGCAAATGTTTTTTTTTTAAGTTGTCACTACAAAAGGAATAAAGTGAAAATTCCAGGGACACCTTGGAGCAGTGGCATCACAAGGGGGGTGCGGCTTGCTCCAGGGTGCCACCATTGGAGGGGTGACACCAAAATGACTGACATTCATTTTGGTGTCACCCCCTATGAAAAGTCGTTGAGAAACAAATGGCAACCCCCCCCCCTAAAAAAAAACACAAACCTAAAAGAAAACAAAACTATCAAAAACCCAAAAAATAAAACTAAATAAATAAAAGGTTTGGATTTAAGTATACTTTACATAATAAAAGGCTGTTTTATTCTAAATAATAATAATTACCAGGATTTTATATATATACAGTTAAATTTTATTTTTTCCCAAGCGAACAATTTTTATTATTATTATTATTATTATTGCTGTTGTTGTTTTGATTGTTACTTTGTTATTATTAGACAGGAAGTAAATCCCCCTCTGCACCCCTGGCGTGCGCGGCTATAGGGGGCAGTGCGGTAGGCGGCGGCTGGAGGGGGCTGTGCGCGGCACAGTAGGGGAGTCGGCGGTCGTATTCTCCATAGTAGAGACGCACTGTGTGCTCTGTCAGCTCGGAGGGAGCCGCTCGGAGAGGCGGACATGGCGGAGCGCCGGGCCTTCGCACAGAAAATCAGCAGGTAACCGCGCCGTCCTCCCCTCGCCTCCGCCCGGGGGGATTCCTGACTTGTCCCCGGCATCCTTTTTCCTTACCACGGCCTGGTAATCCGGCTCTCCGCCTGTGGATGGAGCCTGAATCCCCCCAGACCTCCCCCACCTCCCTGGGCTGTGTGCCGGGACAATGGAGGCGGCTGTCAGGGAGCCCAGACCGACACCCCTATACTTATTAGAGTACCTGCAGAGGCTGTCGCCCCCCCCCCCCGACCCCAATATAATGCATCACATCACCCCCAGACCACAATATAATGCATCTTATCACCACCACACCCCAGTATAATACATCACTACATCACATCACCCCACACCCTAATATAATACATCGCATCACCCCCACACCCCAATATAATGCATATCATCACCCCCACACCCCAATATAATAGATCACATCACCCCAATAGATCACCCCTGGACCCCAATATAATAGAATACATCACCCTCAGACCCTGATATAATACAACACATCACCCCCCGACCCCAATAAAATACATCACCCCCCAATATAATAGATCACATCACTCCCACACCCCACTATAATAGATCACATCACTCCCACACCCCACTATAATAGATCACATCACTCCCACACCCCACTATAATAGATCACATCACTCCCACACCCCACTATAATAGATCACATCACCCCCCAGACCCCAATATAATAGAACACATCAACCCCAATATAATGCAACACATCCCCCCAAACCCCAATATAATGCAACACATCA